TACTGAAAACATTATTTACAACTTCAGATGAACTTAAGGAAGGAAACAGAAGTGACAACAACAGACCAGATGTGAAGATAGAATGGCTAATGAAAGTGACAGAGTCAATTAATATATGCGGCCGGTCAGGTCCGAGCTCCTTCACTTTAAATTTCTCCTATAGTGTTCTCCTCTCAAACAGTATTGTTTTCAGTGACTTAACTGAATTTTCTCTATCCATTACGCCTTTTTGGCTCTCTCTGCAACTGACAAAAATCTTGCTTGCTAATTACTCCGACACTCTGGGCTCAACGTCACCCGCTTGGCGGTTTTATTCACTGCCACCCCATGGCTGGTAGTGAAAAGCAGTAAAGTGAAGCAACCAGAGGGAGACAGCATGGCGCAGTCAGGCTGTGCCCCACTGTCTGCTATCTGCTGTATTGGGGGGAACGAACTGCACGTCAAAGTTTTAACGAGAGTCAATGGGCAAAGATTTGTGCGCCCCTGGCTAGATATGCGTCAACTATTAGTAACTGTAGGCAATGTAGGACATCTCTAAACTGACTTTTTATTGAAAATTACACATTTCCATACCTCTTTTCAGACCATTGTACTCAATTTGTCTATTTAAAACATAGGATATACGTATAAAAATCATTTAAAAAAACATTTTATAAAATGAAGGGCTGCGTGATTCTACATGCTGTGAGACAGAGAGGGCGGCGCCCTGGCGCCCTTTATTGACCAGCCACCACTGCAGCTGACTCAACAGCATCATTATGTATTTATTTCTGCATCCTCTGGACATAATAATTGCAATCAAAACAGAGAAAACTAATTATTTTTGGTTCAAACTGCTGCAGTCAGCCTCATTTCAGCTGATGTGGGCTTTGCTGTAATGATTAAATCTGTCTAAGGAAGACTTCAGCTAACAGGGAGAACAACCCCACAGTCAAACTCACATTAGTGGGGGGTTCAAAAACCATTTCAGGGTGTGGAGAAAACATCATTTTTGAATAGAATAAGGTGTTGGAGTTTCTCAAATTGATGAATATGGTTATAGAATAACTAATGAAATAAATAAACGCTTCAACAAATAGCTGCATGAGTTCCGCTTGTAGTGTAGATAATCTGCCTATCTGAGATAATCTCACATAGGCAAAAAAGGCGCCTAGATTTATTAAGGTCAAGTTTCCTCAAGAATTGATCATTAATGGTGGATTAAATAGACTAGGTGTCATTAGATTAGAGAATTTTGTCATATCATAACAATAGTTGTTTACATTCCACCCAAATCAACAGAAGAAATTCCGTGCAATGTTTTGCAAAAGAGTGTTGCCAGGCTACAGACCCAACACCCGGAGGCACTAATAACAATATCAGGAGACTTCAACCATGTAACCCTCTACTCTTACCTGACTGGATTCACACAGTTTGCGAACTGTCCTACCAGAGAGGGCAAAACCCTGGATCTGCTGTGTGCCAACGTCAACGTGTATGCCAATTTGTGGATATTGTCACACTGTGCTGTGTATCTCAGGCTGACTCTCACTCACCTGCCACACCTCCTCATCAGCACTGATTCCCCACACCTGTGAGTGACAAGCTGCAGCTCTTCACTGCTGATTAGTCAGCCAGCATTTAAGTCACTCTGTGTCCCTCAGTCAGTGCCAGATTGTCTTCGCAGCATGCACGACTCTCCAGCATTATTTCTTGGATTGACTTCTCGGTTTCGACTCCTGCCTGTCTCTGACCACGTCTTATCGTCTCAGCCCTTGGATCCCCTGTCAAGTTTCTTCGCTCCGGTTGCTGTGTTGCTGGCTTCCCGACCTACTGCCTGTCCACGACTATCCTTTCATCTGATCCCTCTGGAGTTAGTCTGCCCCGCTGATTGTCTGCCTGGATTCGACCTTGCCTCCGCTTCGACCACGAGCTCAGCCTGCCCCTCGACAGTGCTGCTGCACTTCACAAAGACTCTCAGGTGTAGTGTGTCTTCTGTGTGCACTCACCTTTCTGCCTGTTGGACCTCTTACCTGTGGATCTGTCTTCCGTTGGTCTTGAAGATTTTTCAGAGACTGCTTAATCAATCCCAGTATCTTCAGTTACCTGTTTTGCTGTGAACTGTGACAATAAAAGTAGCTTCTAAAACAACTACCTGCCTGGCACATCTCCACCCAAGGGTCGCCTGTACTCCCTGTCTGCACCTGAAAAAGAAGCCATGGAGGTTTACATTAAAGACTCTCTAACAGCAGGCATCATCTGTCCCTCTTCCTCTCCTGCTGGGGCGGGCCTCTTCTTTGTGGAGAAGAAGGATACTACTTTGAGGCCTTGCATCGACTACCGAGGACTGAATGACATCACCATAAAGAACCGCTACCCCCTGCCTCTCATGTCTTCTGCCTTTGAACTGCTTCAGGGGGCCACAGTCTTCACCAAGCTTGACCTTCGCAACGCCTACCACCTGGTCCGCATCAGAGAGGGAGACGAATGGAAGACAGCCTTCAACACTCCATCGGGGCACTACGAGTACCTGGTTATGCCCTTCGGCCTCACCAATGCCCCTGCTGTCTTCCAAGCCCTAGTCAATGACGTTCTTCGAGACATGCTCAATCGCTGCGTCTTTGTCTACCTCGATGACATCCTGATCTTCTCCAAGACCCTGAGTGAGCATGTCTACCACGTCCGGGCGGTGCTCCAACGTCTCCTCGAGAACTCACTGTTTGTCAAAGCGGAGAAGTGTGAATTCCATGCCTCAGCTGTCACTTCCTGGCCTGTTCCTGACTCCCGCAAACAGTTGCAGCGTTTCCTTGGTTTTGCCAACTTCTACCGCCGTTTCATCCGCAATTACAGTTCAGTTGCTGCTCCCCTCACTGCCTTAACCAGCTCCAAAGTACCATACCAATGGAATCCTGCTGCCAATGAGGCTTTCAAGAATCTAAAATCCAAGTTCACCTCAGCACCCATTCTTCAAGTTCCAGATCCCAATCAGCAATTCGTGGTGGAGGTGGATGCCTCGGATGTGGGGGTCGGAGCTGTCCTCTCCCAAAGATCAGCAGCTGACCAGAAGCTCCACCCCTGTGCTTTTTTTTCTCGACGCTTGTCTCCGGCAGAGAAAAATTATGACATTGGAAACAGAGAACTCCTAGCAGTAAAGGAGGCCCTAGAGGAGTGGCGGCACTGGTTGGAAGGCACAAAGGAGCTATTCTTGATTTGGACTGATCATAAGAACCTTGAGTACCTTCGTACGGCCAAAAGACTTAACTCCCGTCAGGCCCGCTGGTCTCTATTCTTCACAAGATTCAACTTCATCCTCTCCTACCACCCTGGTTCACGCAACACTAAGGCTGACGCCCTGTCCCGGCAGTTCCAGAGGGAAGAGGGCTATGCCGAAACCTGTTACCATCCTGCCCTCCTCCTGTGTTGTCGCCACTCTGTCCTGGGACATAGAGGAGAGGGTGAGAACTGCCACCGAGGGTCAGCCAGGTCCCAGCGCCTGTCCCCCAAACTGCCTCTATGTTCCAGAAGCACTGAGGTCAGATGTGCTGCAGTGAGCCCACTCCTCCAAGCTTACCTGTCACCCAGGTTCCGGGCACACGCAGGATTTTCTACGCCAGCGCTTCTGGTGGCCCACCCTGGAGGTAGATACCCGCAATTTCATCAAGGCTTGTCCGACGTGTAACCAGCAAAAGACCTCCCGTCAAGCCCCCGCAGGATTCCTTCAACCACTCCCAATGCCACATCGACCCTGGTCCCATATCTCCCTAGACTTCGTTACTGGTCTCCCTCCCTCTGATGGTAACACAGTCATCCTCACCGTGGTGGACCGCTTTAGTAAAATGGCCCACTTCATCCCCATCCCCAAGCTGCCGTCTGCTAAGGAGACTGCCAAGCTAGTCCTGTTTCACGTCTTCCGTCTGCATGGTCTCCCGGTAGATGTGGTGTCTGACCGGGGTCCCCAGTTTGCCTCTGTCTTCTGGAAAGAGTTCTGCAGCCTGATGGGAGCCACAGCCAGTCTTTCCTCTGGGTTCCACCCCCAGTCCAACGGGCAGACAGAGCGCATGAATCAGGAGATGGAGACGGCTCTGCGCTGCCTGGTATCCCAGAACCCTTCCTCCTGGTCTCAACAACTCTTGTGGGTGGAGTATGCCCATAATTCCCTCACTAGCTCTTCCACTGGTCTCTCCCCCTTCCAGTGCGTATATGGGTACCAGCCTCCACTTTTCCCTGCTCAGGAGAACGAGGTTACCTGCCCGTCCGTCTAAGCTTTTGTTCACCACTGCCGTCGGACCTGGGACAGAGCTCGCTCCACCATCCAGCGTTCTGTGGGTCGCTACGCTGTGGCAGCCAACCAGCGACGCTCCCCAGCTCCTGACTACCAGGTGGGCCAGAAGGTGTGGCTCTCTGCTAAGGACTTGCCTCTCAGGGTGGAGTCTAAAAAGTTGGCCCCAAAGTTCATTGGCCCATTTACTATTGAGCGGATCATCAGTCCTACTGCAGTGAGACTGAAGCTCCCACGCACCATGCGGGTTCATCCGACCTTCCATGTCTCCAGGATCAAGCCAGTCCATGAGAGTCCTCTTTCTCCTGTGGTCCCGCCTCCTCCTCCTCCTCGCTTTATTGATGGGGGCCTTACGTACTCGATTAGGCGTCTGGTTCGGTCCCATCATCGTGGGAGGGGTCTCCAGTACCTGGTCGACTGGGAGGGCTACGGTCCAGAGGAGAGGTCCTGGGTCCCTTCTCGCCACATCCTCGATCCAGACCTCATTACGGACTTTCATCATCAGCATCCTTCCCAGCCCTCCAATGCTTCCAATCCACCAAGAGATCCTCGTTCCACAGCCTGCACCTCAGTTTTACTGGATGAGGGTCCTTACTGCACTTGGGTCCTACATCCACACCCCCTGACAGATATGAGTAAGTGCACGCCCAAGTTATAATATTAAACTATTGTTACACATTGTATGAAACGTTCTGTAAAAATTCCCTCCAGGGCGTTTATTGCAGAAAAAGGGCTGGAGGGAATGGTGACCCCAGCCTTTGTTAAAAAGAAATGGGAGAACCTAAAGCAGAAATACAAGGTTGGTTCGACATAATGTCGCAATAAGTTAATTCTTTATGGTGTGCACTCTGGTACGCAGGCATTATTGCATAATTCTAATTGTTTCCCTGCCACCTGCTCTCCTTCCTGCACAGGACCTCAAGTGCCCAAAAACCGGGGTCAGCACGGTGAGGGGTGAGACCACTGCCGCATCCTGGAAGTGGTACACTTTGATGGATGAGGCAATCGGGGGCAGGCCGTCCATCACACTGCCTGTCCTCATTGCCCTACTCTCCCAGGATGCAGCGGTGGTCTCAACCCCCTCTGTGGTCAGCCCAGGAGGGGACAGCTCCACAACATCCACCCCCAAGAGGTGGCTGGTGGATGTTGTGGAGGCATTGAGGGAGCTGCGGGAGAAGGAGGCCCAGCTGGAGCTTGAGGCAAGAGAGAGGGAGGCAAGGCATGAGGAGATAGAGGAAAGGAGAAGAAAAGAGGACATAGAGATAGAGCAAAGAAGAAGGCAGGAGGACTTGGAGAGAGAGGAAAGGGGAAGAAGAGAGGATACTGAGAGGGAAGAAAGAAGGAAAAGGGAAGCGGTTGGAAGGGAGGAGAGGATATGGAGGGAGATGAGAGAGAGGGATGAGAGGAGGGAGAGGGATATGGCTGTGAGGGAGGATTGGTTTTCGAAACTATTAGAAAATATATTTAAAAAGTAGTTTTTTGTTTTAAATGCCTAATTTGTAAATAGTTTGTCATTGGTTGCCACGTTCCAAATGTTCAATATGTAAATAGGGTATCTTAACTTTTTTGTTCTAAATTTTTTTATATGTAAACAGTTTGTTATTTTTCTGTTATGCACAATAAATGTTCAGACATGAGGCACATGTAAGTGAAGTTTTAATGCAGATTGAAAACTGAACCCATAACAACAGTATTAAGGAACATAAAAGGACATTTGAATACATCACAACAACAACAGTTATTGAACGATGTGAGTTGTGCCATATACACTGAACTTTTTACATCAGTTTTGGTCTATGTACACTGAACTATTTACATTAGTTTTGGGTTATATAAACAAAACTATTTACATCACATTAGTTCTGGTGTATTTACAGATTATATTTACATATGAACAGATGTATTAAATTGACATTTCCCAATTAACAGTTTGTCTGACACTGCACAGCCATCCGGTGCCTGTCTTCTGCTCCACAGATGAAGCCCGGAGGTGCTGGCTCTGGAAGGTCCCCCGCTGCTTCTTCCACAGCGTCTGCCTCTGGCTCCAGCAAGTCCCCATTGCTGAGGCAAATGTTGTGGAGGACTATGCAGCAGGCGATGACCTCCGGCACAAAAGTCACATTCCACCTCCAGTGCCTTGAAGAAGAGGGACCTCCACCTGGTCTTCAAAATTCCAAATGCTCTCTCCACCACGCATCTGGCTTTTGACAGGTGGCCGTTGAAGCGTACCTGGAGCTGGCTCTGAAGAGGCTGGCAATAGGGGGTGATGAGGGCCATGCTTTAGCACCCTGGTGTCATGTGCTGACCCAGGGAAGCCCAAAAAAATGTCAATAAACTTGGCTGTGTAATCACACACAGCCAGAACTGAATAAAACAGTTTTCTGTTCAGGTAACAGGCTGCATGCTGGGATGGTGGCTTCACTCGCACATGGCAGCCATCAGTGCTGCCAACAACCTTGTTGAAGGCTGCTGACCCAGATGGCAAAACCAGCACCCAGATGAGGAAGGTCCTCCGCCGAGGGAAGAAGGACAACCAGCGGGAGGAGAGCCACGACCTCCCGGCAGGTTTTGTGCACCATGCGGTGCTCAGTGGCAAAGGCTCTGGTAACGACGTGGTAAGAGGTCCCGCTGGCTAACCAGAATAAGAAGACCAGGGCCTCGATGGTGGGCCCCCAGCCATGGTCCATTTGGGTCCCAAGGACGGCCATCAGACCCCTGAAGGACACCCTCGTGAGGCGAAAGTCTGGGCGCAGGTCACTTTCGCCATCAAAGTACATCGCCAGGAGTGGCATTTACCTGGCAGTACAGCCCGAGGGTTGGAGACTGAGGAAAAGGGGAAAAAAAGTTTGAAATAAAATGTGATTTGTATTATGCTGTTGTTTGTTTGTTTGTTTTTTTTGTTTGTTTGTTTGTTTTGTTTTTGTTGTTGTACGTGGGTATAACTGCCTCAACCCTCTCTGCCACAACAGTAACATGCTGATCTAACTGATGCTTCAACATACATTATGTAATTGGTGTAACACTGGGTCTGTCAGTCAAACTATTGTAATAAAAATGATTTACGTATTTATACTGGTTGGTAGTTTGACTTGTATACAGTCATCTTAACGTTAAATAACGGTTTTGCTAAATAGATCACAAATAAACTATACATGCTGCTGCATCTTCAGTCAGTAGAAGGAGGAGAAAGCGTTGTTGGCGCTGATTGAGACGTAGAAAGTGATGAACGTTCATTTTGTTGCTTATTTTACCTCAAAAGTGGATGAACAAGCGCAGGCAAAAGGTGACGGTAATTAGCTGATGCAGAGCGAGCCAGTGACAAATTGGTGTAGAAGAAGAAATCGCGTTGTCTTTTCCAGTGAGTGCGCCGTGTGGCAGTAAGTGATTTGGGACAACACTGCACCCTCGAAACTCAAGCACTACGCCATTAAGTACATAGTAGGCTCAGAATACTCAATTTAAAAAAAATAAGTATTTAGTATCGAAGTATGCGATTTGCGACCAACAGTTATTCCCATAAAGACTGTTTACTGTTTCCCCAACAACAAACCCTGGATCACAAGTGACATAACAGCAATCCTTAACCAGTAAAGAAAGCTTTAAAAGGTGGTGACAAAGAACGGCTCAAACAAGTGCAACAAGAGTTTAAGAGGAGACTGAAGATGGCAAAGCTGGAGTACAAAAAGAAGATAGAGAAGAATCTAAAACACAGCATCATCCGTGAAGTGTGGAGAGGAATCAGTACCATCTCTGGACACAACAATAAAGAGAAAAGACAGCCAGTGGTGGGTGATCTGGAAAGAGCTGATGAACTCTTCAACAGATTTGACACTGCTGTCACACCCACTTGTCCTGGATGTGTTTTCATTTTTTATGAACAGCTGGTTTAAAACACAACCTGACATCAGGTTGTTAGAACATTATTTTCAGGATGAAACAGGATAAAATGTCCCCTCTGCTCTGCTCTTTGTTGATTAAGTGCATGTTGGAAAGTTGTTTGAAAGTGTTCCTTTGGTCATGGAGGACATTGACAGCTATTTTCTCTTCCCACAGACAGGTTCCAGAAATAAGGGGTAAGTTTTTATGTTTATGTGATGACAGCCACAACTCAGCTGTTTATGTCCACCACTCCAAGGATGAATCTCTTGTAAACAAAGGCCAGATTAAGCAGGGTTAACTGTCACTGAAACCTGGGGCTGTTGACTCTGAGCCACAATGTAGTGTATCAATCTAATGTATCCTGGGCAACAGTGGCAGCTGCTGGTCTGTCAAGGAGGGGAAGCTCATTTTTCTGGCCTACATAATATAATTGTGTTTGTTTATTTGTATGTAAATTCTACCCTTCGTTCCTTTTGAAGAAAATGATCTGTGACCTTGTCGTACCAACTAGGCGTCTTTTCCAGGGACTTGACCAGTGTCCTCTCAATGGCCAGCAGAGCTAGGCTGCTTAAACGGTCTTGGCCCATTGTGTTGATTCGCTGATTCGCTTGTTTAGCTGTCAATCAAAAAAGGGTTTCGCCTCAGACAGCTCATCCAATCATGGATGCAGCAGCTCGGAGTCCGGGAGAAAGTCGGGACCGCCCTCTCGCCATAGAACTCCAGAGAAGCTGAGCATCCGATGGGCGGGACAAAGCCCAGCATTTATCCAATGAGCATCTAGTTTCGCTGCTGAAACAACCCACTTTTGAGCTTCCACATTGAAGTCAGCAGAAGCTAGGCGTCCGGCTGTGTAAAGCGCTGAGGCGCTGCGAGGATGAATGAGAACGAAGTTGTGCAGAATCAGCTTCTTATCACACTGTGATAAGAAGCTGATTCTGAACAAAAGATGAAGGCTTTCTAACGCGTATTTAGTTAATGAAATGTACACACAGCAGTACGTATTTCACCACTTTTTCTTTTTTTAGGGGGGGACATTTTAAGGGAAGCTGAGCTTCCCTTGCAGTCTTAGAGCAATCGCCACTGCTGGGCAATCACGAAACCAGATTTTCATCTCATTGTGGCCATGAAGTACCACAATAACAATAGAATCACGATAATGTAGGAAATCTTGGAAACCACACAATCAGTGAAGTTCAGTAAAAGTAAGACAACCATAGAGCAACACATGACTTAATTAATGTCACCAATAAAGAGTTTTTACTTCATGTGATTATCCATTCTTCACCATGTTCAAACTTGTGATTAATAAACATACCAGCCCTATGACTGAAACTTCTTTGGAGAAGACGGTTCTTCATAAATGCTCCTTCATGCTTTTATTTTGACATGTTTCCTGTCTCGCGTTTAAGTCACCTTTTCCTAGATAGTGAAACTGGGCTTTTATTTTGAAGCTGCAGGTCTGAAAACATTGAATGGTTCCTAAGTACAAATGTTTGATTGAGTCTTGACTTTCGGGTTGTTTCATGATTACAAAACTGTGGCAGAGAAGGCCAAATCAAGACAAAGTTTGGAGAAGGCAAGGGCAAAAACGAAAGTCAACATCGGGACAGCTTTTAAATGATGGCGAGAACTGAAAGAGGTCAAGGGCTCTAAAAGTGATGCCATGGTCGCTCATTTTCTGTTGGATAGGTACATTGAGGGTTTGTTTCAGGGCAATTTTTAATACTGATCAAGTATTTAGCCATGTTGCTAGAATGTGGCCATCCCAATGCTAACGTTACCTTCTTTGTCTCTGCTATGCAAAGACTTCCCAATCTAAAGTCCCAAAGTTTTGAGTCTGTGGTTTTAAATCAGCAGTCAGCAGTGCTCGTGCATGTGAGCGGGGACGTTGTTTTGGAGGAGCTCCGAGGGGAGGGGGAAGCAGCTAGACAAAGTCCTAAGGAGATATTACATTCAAATTCATGCTAGTTTGCCGTGATTACCAACCCTACCCTTAAGTCCAGACATGATACTATTTTCTCTTTTAATGCAGCTAAAGTGAGAAGTAAGAGCAGCTACAGCTCTGTACAGTGCAGAGAAAATCTCCACACTGCTGTCTCTCTAATAAGCTACCTTGAGGTGGCCTCACACTGTAGTGTCTGGACCAGCTGAAGATTCCTTAAAGACTTACTGGAGCAGCCTGATAAGAGAGAATTACAGTAGTCCAGCCGAGAGGTAACAAAGGCATGGACTAGTTTTTCCGCATAACTCTGAAACAGGATGGGTCTAATTTTTGAGATATTGCGCAGGTGGAAAAAAGCTATCCTAGAGATTTGTTGAATGTGGGAGCTAAAGGACAAATCCTGATCAAATAAAACTCCCAGATTTCGCACAGTGGGGCTGGATGCCAGACTGATGCTATCCAAATTATTAGAGAATGCCTCTCTAAGGTGTTTAGGACCGAGAACAAGAACTTCAGTTTCATCTGAGTTGAGCATCAGAAAGTTATTGGTCATCCAGGATTTTATATCTTTGAGACAAGCTTCTAATTTGGTAACCTGGGGCCTCATGTATCAATACTTGCGTGGGACTCATACCAGAAACGAGCGCACGCAAGGTCCGTCACGCTGAAAAAAATCCGTATGTATCAATGTGTGCGGGCGCCGAAATCCACGTGTGTTTCCTTGATAAATCCCAATCAGCGTGGAATTGAGCGCAGATGTCGGAGTGACTGGGCCCGTCCCCGTTACGCCCTCCTATAAATATGCAGATTTATTTAAATAGGGTCTCCCTGTCCTCGCACGCAGACAAAATGACAAGAAAAACTAAATTTACGGCGTGCAAGGTGGAGGAGCTGGTGGCGGAGGTGGAGGAGCGACAGCGTGTTTTGTTTGGCAGCCTGTCCAGTGGCGTCAGTGCAAAACAAAAACGCTTGGAGTGGGAGAAAGTTTGCGAGAGGGTGAATGCGGTGGGTTCCGAGACACGCACCCCCGCGAAGATAAAAAAAAAGTGGTCGGACCTCAAGGTGGAGGTCAAGCGGCGTACAGCTGCCCTCCGGAGGAGTACTGGACAGACAGGTGGGGGTCCGGGGGAGGAGACCCTCACACCGTTTGAGCAGCGGGTGGTGGCGATTATTATTATAGGGTAAGTGGCGTGTCACACAAATGTCCACATGCTTTGTCATCCCACTGAGCAAAAGACGTATATTAGACGTCTAGTCTAAGTTTATACTTCATTTCAACGTAGGGATTCAGTCTATTTTTAGACGTGATTTATACTTCGCCCTTAACTTCATTTTTCGATAACTTTTTATGCAATAAACAACTGTAATGTGCATAACTGACCTCGAAATACTGGATTACATTACTTATGATACCGTGGAGAGAGATGTAAACGCAACAGATACACAGAAGCAGGAATTGAAATGAACGAATATTTTTATTGTGTCACAGAAATCAATGTGTCCGCCGTGTCGCCGGCTTGCGGAACCCCGGCCCGCGGCAGCCCGTCCGCCGGCTCGGAGTCGTCGGCCAGGACCAGCGGCATTCGGGCCACCCCGGCCCCCGGCCCCAGCACCAGCACCAGCATCAGCACCAGCATCAGCACCAGCGCGCCGACAAGCGGTGGAGCGTCCACCAGCCGCGGCGCTTCCGCTGGACCACCCGGACGCAGTGGAAGGGTCCTCGCGGAAGGGGTCCTGCAATCGCAGGAAGAAATCATCAGGGGGATCGCGGGGATCAACGAGCGGCTGGACCGGCTCGTAAATGTCCTCGAGCGTCTGGTGGAGAAAATAAATTAATTTGGCTCATTGAACTGTGTATTCACTTCTTACCCATTCACACTGTGGCGATGAGATTCTCCCGCGCGAGGACGGCGGCCCAGCAGGGATCAGCTCGCATCCCTCCGTCTGCTGCTGGTT